CAATTCCCAGTCAGGACACATGCCCACGTTGTGGGCCTGATCCTCAGTGTGGAGCATGCAGGAGGCAGCCAGTTGATGTTCTCTCCCATCGATGTTTCTGTCTCCCTCTCCCTCTCTCTCTCTAATATCAATAAAGAAAAAAAATTAATGTATATGCTCAAAGTAGATAAAAATAAAATTCACCAAGGCCACCATGCAGAGGCAAATTTTGTTAACATTTGCTGTATTTTTTTTCAGATTTCATATATTTTAAAAATATAGTGTTGGGCTCATAAAACTTCCTATGCTGTCACATTCATCATAATAGTGTAGGCATTCTAGCTATAAACTTAATTTTATAGTTGTATAATAGCCCATTATATGAGCATATTGTAATTTACTTAATCAGTTTTTGGATGTTGACTTTTTTTTCATATACTGAAATATTATACTATTTTAAAATAGTACACTAACACTACATACTATAGAATATACATACTTTCTCTGTAAGTTTAAAATTATTTCAAGATAAATTATTTATAACAATCAAATAATACTTTGACAAAGAAAAGAATTGTATCCTTAGAACAAAATTATCTTTGGCAATTCTTGTAATTTGTATTGAAAATTTTAGAGTTCAGCTTAAATTATGCAAGAATTTTGTAACTTACATACACACATACATCTATAATCATTTCTATATTTATGTATGTATATTTTAAACATGGTTTCACTAAAAAGTAATAACTAGTACTTGAACAAAATTAAAAACTTCTGTAAAAAATAAAGCTGGAGTGGCAACATTAATATCAAATAGACTTCAGAACAAAGACTATTACCAGTGATAAAGTCATTTCAAAATGCTAGTGTCAAAATGTTATCAGCACACAACGATAATCCTAAAGGTATATACACCTAACTAAAAAAGATAGAACTGAAAAGAAAAATAATCAATCTACAATTATATCTGATGACCTCAACACTTCTCTCAGTAACTGATAAAGCAAATAGAAATAGTTTAAGGCTTTAGAATACAACATACTTGAACAGCATGCTCAACCAACTTGACTTTATTGACGGTTATAAAACACCTCACCAACACCAGAGTACATTATTTTCCAGTGCATATGAAACACTCACCAGGATAGATCATATTCTGTACAATAAAACAAACACCAACCAATTTAAAAGATTTAAAGTTACTCAGAGTATGTTTTTGATCATATTGTAATTAAACTAGAAATCAATAACAAAGATACCCAGACAACTGAAATATTTAGAAAGTTTACGAAACACTTCTAAATAATTCATGGGTCAAAGAAGTATTTGAATAGTTTGAATTGAATGAATGAGAAAGCACAGCGTATCAAAATCTGTGGAAGGTGATTAAAGCAGGGCTTAGAAGGAAATTAATATTATACATTTGTATTTCAAAAGAAGAATCATCTTAAAGACTTAAGCTCCCACCCTGAGAGAGTATAAAAATAAAAGCAGATTAAACCCAAAGCAAGCAGAGAAACAACTAACGCTGGTAAGAGCAGAAAGCAATGGACTTGAACATAGAAAAATAGTAGAAAAAAATTAATAAAGACAAAAGTTTTTGCTTTGAAAATATAAATTAAATTAATAAAACTGAACAATATTTCTTCAAAGTTATTTCTGGGTAAAGCTTTCTCTTATGTGTATAACAGCAAAATAATTTTAATAATTTGCTCATTTGATAACTATTTATTTAGCATCAGTTATATGCCAGGCCCTATCTTAAATGCTTGGGATACATCATAGTCCAAAACAGACAAAAATTTCTGGTGACAACCTAGTCAGCAAGTTTTCATTAGAGGCTGCTTTATGAGAAGCTATATGTAAGCTATGTTTTTGGTAGAGTCCTTATGGTAGCTGCTCAACTAATGGGATTAAATGCACATGACCGTTGCATCCTACTTTCAAAATGTTTTGCACTGTACACACCCTGTAGTCAGGTTTAATTTTGTGTTAACTAGGTTTATAATAATAAGCCCCTCCAAAGACAGAAACATTGACAATACTCACCCACCATACACACATGTACGTTCCTCTTCTAATGTAGAAAAATAATTTTAGTCTAAGGTGAGGTCTCCAAGCCCAGCAGGGTTATCTTTTCTCTATTAATCTTTGAATTTCAGTTTGGGAAGTTTCTATGGACATATCTTTAAGCTCACTGATTCGCTCCTCAGGGGTGTCTAGACTACTGCTAGGCTTATCAAAGGCATTGTCATTTGCTGCTGTTTTTGATCCCTAGAATCTCTTTTGGATTCTTTCTTAGAGTTTCCATATCTCTGCTTACATTACCCATCTGTTCTTGCATGCTGCCCACATTTTCCATGAGAACTCTGTGCATATTAATCATAGTTATTTTAAATTCCTGTTCAATAATCACCAAATTTGTGTCAAAGGTGAGTCTAATTCTGATGCTTACTTTGCCTTTCAGACTGTATTTTTCCTTGCTTTTTAGCAACTTGCCTTTAGCCTCGTAGTTTTGTTGTTGAAAGCTGGACCTGGTATATTGGGTAACAGGAACTGAGGTAAATAAGGCTTTAATGAGGTGTGACGTTATTTATTATATCATATCGCTAGAAGTTGGGCTGTGTTTCATGTTTGCTCTGTCTGTAGGTGCCAGAGCTTCAAATTCCTCTAGTGTTTTGTTTTTGTCTCTTGTTGTCCTTGGATTTTCCTAATAACTTCTCGTTAGCTGGAGTGTGTGTTTTGCAGCATTCCCAGGTGTAATCAACTGTTATTACACCGGGGCACTGTTGGTGTGGTGGTAACCCTCAGAAAAGGGAAAGCTTTTATAATTTTATGACTAAATCTGTAGGGCTTTGTAGGGCTGTGACCTCCACAGGTGTTTCTAAGCTTCTCTCTCTCTACTCAGGTGAGACAGGAAGGCTGGAGGAGGCTGTAGTCCAAGAGGTGTCCCAGGTGGGATAAGGCTGGAGATCTTTCTTGGCTTTTCACTGTGAGAACCTACTGAGGTTCCTAGAGGCAAAACCCATGGAAGTGTGGGGGCCTCTCTAAGACTGCAGCCTCCAGTGGTGTCACTCAGCTAGTCCACACTCAGTCTCTATCAGTTCATCACAATTACCACTTACGTGTTACTAGTGTATGGCTTCAGTGGCTTCGGCTCCAGGCAAGTAGTTCTTGGCAGTGACTCCCTGGTTTCAACTTTCACTCCAGATTGCAGGGTGGTGGGCTGTCCTGTGACCTTGGTTTTATGATTAGGCCAAGAAAATGTATTAATTTTTACTTTATTCAGCTTTTTCTGGTAGTAAGGATGGAAATAATGACTTCCAAACTTTTTATATTTTGGATCTGAAACTGGAAGTCCTTTTTGCTATTAATCCTTAAGCAGAGATATTGCTACACAAGATGGACTTCAAATTAGACAACACAAACTAAGGTTCTCACACTACCTTAATTTTTTTTTTATTTTTTATTTTTAATAAGATTTCTCTAAATATGTCATCTCTAAAATCAATATTTGACTAATTTCCCCAACCCATTCCTGTCCTTAAGTTCTTTTTTAAAATGGACTTTGGTCCTGGCAGGTTTGGCTCAGCGGTTGGGGCAGCGGCCTGCAGACCAGAGGGTCTCGGGTTTGATTACCCGTCAAGGGCAGGTACCTGGGTTGATTCCACCTCCCCGCTCCAGTTGGGGTTGTTCGGGAGGCAGCTAATCTGTGTCTCTCACACATGTTTCTCTCTCTCTTTCCGTGCTTCCCTGCCACTCTATATAAAGGATCAGTGGGAAAATATCCTCAGGTGAGGATTAACTAAAAAATAAAATGGACTTTAGCATCTAACCTGCCAATAGAATAAACCAGACCTACATCCTACCATCTTTATTTTCTCTAATTGGTACCCGGGACCAAGTATTACATAGCAGGATAATATCCATGTGGCCCACACATTGCATCCCCAAAACTTACTAACAGCCTCAGTGTGTGTGGGAAGGGGATGGGAGGTTGGGGAAGGCTCCTGGAAGCGGGTGCCACCCAGTGCCGCACGGTTTCCCGGCAGAGGCAGGGTGAGGCGGGGGCCAGAGGCAGGGTGAGGCGGGGGGCAGAGGCAGTCATCTGCCCAGGCGGAGCAGGCATCGAGCGCACAGAGGTTTTGTGCGTCGTAAGTGACTTTGCCCTCATGCTAGATAGGAGTTTGAGTATTTTTACGCAGTTTCCTCGACCTGGCTCCCTAACCCACCAGAGTGGGGCCGGGAGGGAAAGCCTGGGCTCCCTAACTGACTGTGAAGGGATCACGTCAAAACACTAGATCTGAACTTCCCGCCGCTCTGCTGTAGACCTATGGAAGTAGACGCCCTGCCGGCCTCCCAAGAAGCTCACAACCGATTGGGTCCTGCTTGTCCAATGGGCGGCCGCACCGTGCTCAGGTTGGGGGGGCCGTTGCCGGGAAACCACGCAAACACCAGAGAGCACCGCTGGGGTGTGGCCTCGGGAGCCCCGGAGCCCGACTGCTGGATATTTCGGGGATTTTTGTGCTCCAAAATGGTGAGTGAGTGGGGAGGGTGGAGAGGTCTCGAAACTATTCGTGTATCTGTTGATTGAGTTGTAGTTTACAGCAAGCCTGCTTCTAGAAAAAGGATCTGAAACGCCCAACCTCAGGTGGGAAAGTTGTATTTAGTTTCAGAGGCCTCAGGTGCAATTACTTTAGGGCCGCTCGCGGTAGATTCCAGCTTTTTTTTTTTTTTTTGCATTTTCTCTACACTATCAGATCTGCCTGGTAAAAATCTAATTTCCCATACTTCAGGGAACTTTGGGAAAAGATTAAGGACCGCTGAACAAATGAATGAGTGGAAATAAAAGCCCGGGAGAGAACGAAGGAATAAGTAGCAGTGGGTTGACTTATTAAACCTGATGGGCATCTTAACAGCACTTTATGGCCAAGCTGGGGGATGGGGGAGGGGAAGGGGAAGGGAGGAGGGGTGAGGAGAGGAGGAATTCCCTGCGTAGAGATAAAAGAGCTGGGCGTATAGAGCTCGACTGCATGTCTTTGAATCCTAGTACAGCTATTTATTATCTGAAGAACCTTGTAAAGTTCCTTTCACTTTAGATGCCTCGTCTATAAGGTGGGGAATAATAATAATACCTACTTCATTGATATATCAATATATTTACCTAGTACATTTACACTTTTATTATGGTATAGCTCTCTGAATTTAGGAAGGTAGCCAAAGACCCTTCTTTTATTACATTCACCTATATTTGTATCATTTGTTCCTGGGGCTTACATAAATACATTAAAAAATTAGATTTTGGAACACCAAAATATGCATACTTTTATTTATCTTTTGCATTACAGGCTTCCAAAAGGAGAACTTTGAGCTTCAGTGAAAGGCACCAGAAATTAGTAGAAAAAAACTACAGCAAAAAATTGCATGTTGAGGCACTAAAAAAGATAGAGAATCAAGTCAGGGACCAAATGGTGCAGAATGAAAATGATGACCGTGCTGAACGTAAGAGATTCCTAAGATTATTACAGAATGAACAATTTGAGTTGGATATGGAAGAGGCCATTCAAAAGGTAAGTTTTACTATTCATTCTTATACCATTTTTTTCATTTTCATTTTCTTCTTGGAAATGATGAAAGCTAACTGCTCATACTAGAATTGAGTAGCTAGACATCAGGCAAAGGATGCCTGCCCCACTGTTAGTCAGCCCAGCTTAGTGGTTAAGAGTTGGGTTTTTGGAGCTAGATTAGGTCTTTGAATCCTTGTGCTGCTGTATATTGGTTGTGAAATCTTGGGTGGGTGGCTTTTACTTTTTATGCTTTGTTTATAAAATGAGAATAATCATAGTACCTACATCATGTGATTGTTTTAATGAGCTAATACATGCAAAGGCCTTGGGATAATGCCTGGAACAAAGTTAGCACTCAGGTTTTTGTTTTGTTTTTTTCATAAATATGAAATCTGTAATTACTAATGAAATCTGTCCACGGTTTTGTTCACATAAGTATAATTCTGTTGTCTTCCATAAAATTAGAAAGGGAAAGTTTAATACCTTTTGAATCTACTGAAATTAAATGTGTATTATTAAGAGGTAGAAAATGAACACTTACATGTTTGGCATAAATTTACTCGTACTTTTTATTTGTGAAATACTGCCTTGAAGAATTCAGATGCAAGTTATATGTATATAACTCCTAAAATATGTAGATACATTTTCAGTGGAAATTTCTAAATATTTAAAGTGATGAGGGTGGTAGAAAAAGGGAAACAAATAAGAAAATAAATGAGTTCTCAGTAATGTGAAAAAGGAGTTCTGATATTTCATTATTTTTTGAGTATCTGTTTTATATTCAATATTTTTTAGGAAGTGACAACAGCAAGTTTTTTGTTTTTTTAAAATTTGTTTTTATTGGTTTCAGAGAGAGAGGTGGTGGTAGTTGGGGGTGGGGGGAATAAAGCATATACATGCCCCCTACTGGGGATCAAGCCCATAACCTAGGCATGTGCCCTGACCAGGAATAGAACCAGTGACCTCTTGGTACATGAAACACACTCAACTGAGCCACACCAGCCAGGCTGGCAAAAGCAAGTGTTAAAAGTAGTATCTATCTCTCTGAGTTCCAAATTCCAGAAACAGACAGGACTTTTTACCCTGAGCAAGATCCCTGGATTTAGATTTTTTCTTATTCTTTTTTTTTTTTTCTTTAAAGCTATCCTATCAGTTATCTCCTGCATACTTCAGTTTGCATTCTATAAAATAGATATTTTCTTACATAATGCCATTATCTCACCCAATAGAATTATCAGTAACTTCTAGGTATCATTTATTACCACTTCATAAGCAAATTTCTCTGATTGTGTCAGAAATCTGCTTTTTCATTTGGTTTGTTTTAATCAGGGTCTGAACAAGATTCATACAGTGTATTTGATTGTTATGTCTATTAGGTTCCTCTTAATCTAAGACAGCCCCTCCGTCATCCTTAATTTTTTTTAACTTCATGTTTCTAGCTTGTTAGCTAGGCCAGTTGTTGCATAGGATATCCCACATTCTGAATTAATCCACTTACTTCCTCACTGGTTTCTTCGATTTGTTCTATCCCTTATATTTCCTCTAAATAGAAGTTAGCCTTAAAGGCATGATTAAATTTGTGTACTGTACAACTTTTTGGCAATTACTCCATAGATGATGCTCTCCTTGACATTGCATCACATCAGCAGGCACATGATAACTGGTTGTTTCACTTTTAGCAATGCTAATGTTGACAGTGGGTTTAGTGACCCACCTGGTCCCTCCACTGTAAAGATCCCCATTAAACTCATCTATGTTTCACAGTGAATCATTTCCTTCATTAGGGGTTGCAAAACACTGATTTCTAATTTTTTTATTCCTTTCACATTTAGCTGAAATTCCTCTATAAAGAACTTTCCCTCATCAGCTATGGTTATTTGGTACCCTAAAATGCAGTTCTTACTGGACAGGGAGATAGTTAATTTTCAGAGTAAAGAATTGGTGCCCTAGTCACTTCCATTGGTGTCTGCCTATGTTGTTGTTTAAACTTTTGTTTTGTTTAGTTTTTGACTTTTAAAAAAAATATCTTTATGGACTTATGAATTGCATTTATTATTAATTAAAAATTTTATGCTCAAATTGTCCCATCTTTGACCAATGGATGCCCTTTTATTATTTTTGTGTCCTTTTGACAAGACTCCCTTAATTTATGATATTTTCCTTACCTTCTGTCAGAACAAAATGTTCCAGGCTAGTGATGGTTAATTTTATGTGTTAATTTGACTGGTCTGTCGGGTGCCCAGATATTTGGTCAAACATTATTCTAGGTGTTTTTGAATGAAATTAACATTTAAATTGGCAAACTGAGTAAAGCAGATTGCCCTCCCTAAGGTGGATCAGCCTCATCCAATCAGTTGAAAGCCTGAATAGAACAAAAAGGCTAAGAGGACACTCCTCCTTCTTGACTGCCTTCCACCTGGGAGGGACACCAGTTTCTTTTCCTACTCTTCCTGAGTCTTAAGCCTGCCAGCCTTCAGACAGGAATTACACCTTCAGTTTTCTTGGTTCTCAGTCCTTCATACTTCGACTAGAACTAAGCCATTATTAGCTCTCCAGAGTCTCTAGCTTTCCAACTCACCCTGCAGATCTTGGGACTTCCTGCCTCCATAATCACTTAAGCCAATTCCTTATCATGTTAGTTCTGTTTCTCTGGAAAGTCCTGACTAATACAAGGCAGCTTATCTTGTATGTTTCTTGTTTCACACCTGGAATTGGCTGTTGTACCAAGGAGTTTTTATCGTTCAGTGGAAATAATATTTAGCGTCAATTTGGGTGCCAGATTTATTATCCTTGGGTTATCATTGATTCTAGGTCTTTTAGTAGAACTTGGAAATATGCATATTTCTAACTTTTTATTTTGAGATAAATTTAGATTTATGGAAGAGTTGCAAAAATAGAATAGAGAATTTCTGTGTACTCTTCACCTGAATTCCCTTTATGTTAACATTTTTTTTTTTTAAATCCTCACTCAAGGATATTTTTCCATTTATCTTCAGATAGAGTGGGGGGAAGGGAGGGAGGGAGGGAGGGAGAGAGACAGACAGACATTGATTGGCTGCTCCTCACTTGACCCTGACCATGGTCAGAGACCGAACTGCAAACAAGGTACGTGCCCTTGACCAGAAGTGAACCTGCGACTCTTTGGTCTGTGGGCCGAAGCTCTAACTGCTGAGCCAAACTGGCCAGGGCTATGTTAACATCTTAAATAATTGTAGAACAATTACTAAATGCGGAAATTAGCCTTGGTATAATACTGGTAACTAAACTACAGGATTTTTTCAGATTTTAAATACTGATTTACATTAGTTTTTCCATTAATATATTTTTTCTGTTCCAGGATCAAATTGCATTTAGTTGTCATATCTCTTTAGTCTCTTCCAGTTTTAGTCTCCTCCGGTCTATGAAAGTGCCTCACTTTTTCCTGTCTTTCATGATCTTGACAATTTTAAAGACTACTGTTCATTTGTTATTAGTTTCTGTTGCCGTGTGACAAATTTTTACAATTTAGTGACTTAAAACAATACCATTGATCACCACAGTTTCTGTAGGTCAGAAATACAAACGTGGTATAATAGCTGGATAGTCTGCTCAGTCTCGTGAGGCTGAAATCAAGGTGTTGGAATGCATTCTCATTTGGATCTCAGGGTCCTCTTGGGGTTGACAGATTTTATGTTTTTATAGTAAGACCGAGGCCCTTCTCGCTCAGAGGTTGCTGAATTCCCTGCCATATGATCCTCTCCACAGCATAGCAGTTTGCTTTCCTGAGTTCCACAGGGCAGTAACTTCAGCTATTCCTTGTCAGTTTAAAGGCTTACCTGATTAGGTCAGACCCACCTAGGAAAATCTCCTTTCTGGTTAACTCAAAGTCATCTGATTGGGGACTTTAATACCCTATTCGTGCATTATATCAGGGGCACATGATGTTGATATGTATTATTCTTAATAGCAACCTTGATCACTTGATTAAGGTGCTTATCTACCAGGATTCTCCCCTATAAAGTTTGCACTTTAGAATTGTCTTGCAGTTTGTAAATAATAAATATTTTGAAGGAGATACTTTGAGACTCTGCAAATATCCTGTTTCTGTTTAAATTTTTGCCCTCTAATTTAGCATTCATGGGTGAATCTTACCATCAGCAATTATTACTTTTGGGTTCTAATGATAATTTTCTATTTGTCTCATTCTTCATTTATTTATTGGAATTTTTCTATAAGAAAGAGTGATCCCTTCTCACTCATATATTTGTTCAGTTATTTATATCAGTGTGGATTAATAGATATTTATTTTATACTTTTGGTTATAATTCATACTATTGTTACTTACTTTGTTGCTCCAGTTGTTCCAATTTTGCCTTTTGGAAACTTTTTTCATGTTGTCTTTTGTCCTCTTCTGATATCATGCTCTACTTTTTATTTTCTTTCCTTACCCCATCACCCCCTTACTTGCTTTTTGATACCAGAAGATGTTCCAGGCTCATCTTATTCTCCCATTGTCTAAGAATCAACTATTCCTCTAAGGAGATTTTATTTCTTTTACTGGAGAATGGTATTTAGAAACCAAGATATGAATGATAGGTGTGCTCATTACTGGGGTCTACTCCCTGTAGGTGAAAAGAACTAGAAAATAAATGTATAGTAATAAATGCATACATACATATCTATGTTTACTTTTGTGTCTATCTACATAGATTTATTAATAAAAAAAAATATGAGCCAACAGTGGTACTGCTGACTCCAATCTGGCACCACATTGGTCATTATAACCTTTGCCTTTGCCTTATTTGCACCTGCTCTCTCCAACAAAAAGAAAGCTGGCTCTCATTATCTATAATATACCTACTCTTGCAACCCTAGTATACAAATAAAGTGGTTTCATAATTGCTAACCTGCACCCCTGTAAACAACAAATTTACTTACTATGATGCAGATTTGAGTACAGTTTTTTCTGTCTTTAGCCTTATGGTATCTAATCAAACAGTTTTCCAAAGTTACTTATGTCCACT